GGTTTCAGGATGAGAGAGATGGAATGTGACGAGTCGGTGACTATCAAATTTACAGGGGAAAATGTCTCGTGAAAAAAATTAGTGCAAATGAGCGGTTCTTTTGTCGCAACCAGACACAGCGCGTGTTATTTATAGGCTCAATCACAGGTCACTCTTACGAAAGTTATCAATAGATTTGTTGAGGATAGCCTAGTACTTTGGCTACTTTTTTCAGTGAAATGCTTTTACTTTTGTAGTGGAACATCAGGGCTTTCACATTTTACAATGATTTATTATTTAAACTTTGTAGGTCTGAATTTGAATGTCGATATTGAAACGTCAGGAAATATTTTAAAAATCTGAAATAAAATCAGAGGGAGATTGATGAAAATTAGAGGAAAATTGATGAGATAATTTAAAAATTGCATTGCAATTATCAATAGATTTGTTGAGGATGGCCTAGTACTTTGACTATTTTTTTCAGTGAAATGCTTTTACTTTTGTAGTGGAATATCAGGGCTTTCACATTTTACAATGATTTATTATTTAAACTTTGTAGGTCTGAATTTCAATTTCGGTATTGAAACGTCAGGAAATATTTGAAAAATCTGAAATAAAATCAGAAGGAGATTGATGAAAATTAGAGAAAAATTTATGAGATAATTGAAAAATTGAATTTTTTGAAAAGTACGAGCATTTTTGAATGGTAACAAATTTATTCATATTCAGAATATTACCAGAAGTCGATTTCATGCCTAAAAAATTAGTTTCCCGAAAGTTTAAACAATTTCAATTACTTATTTATAAACAACTAGTGTTCAAAAAGGTAATAATTCTGTGCAAAATGTAATTTGACGCTGAATATTCATGAATCTATCATTTAATTAGTTTCCCTCAATCTAAACTTATAAATTCCATTTTGATCTACCTAAAATACGCTTATTTTCAATTCTCAATTATTTTTAATTTCATGATTATCCCCCTAAATTCGCACTGGCAGAAAAAATAAGCTCCGCCGAAAAACGCCATTTCCGTGCTTGACACCGGCATTCTCCACCCATCACCACTCCCAGATTTGAATCCGGATGATTAACCCAAAATATGATATCTGCGTAACTTCACGCATTCATTGGATATCAACTAATTGAAACTGCACCACAGGAATGCAGCTCGTGGATTTATCGGCTCAACTGACAAACATTGAAATTATCCGGTATTAATACCAGCGGCTTGTAATTTTACACTCGACATGCTCGTTGGAATTGAAAAATCCGGTTTGCGCATTATTTCATCATCTATTGATAACTCAACAAATTCCCATACTCAGGAAAATAATTGAAACAGACAGGATTAAATGCTGTTGACTTGCACTGAGAGAAAAGATTAGTTCTGGCGAAAAATTATGTTCTATATTGTAATTAATCATTAGTTCTTCCTAATATTTGGGTTGAAATTTGAAAATAATAGAATAATTGATAATTTAAATTTTTCAATTGACTATGAATTCAATAAGTTGAAATATGGGATTGTAAATTGACTATTGGGCAAATATATCTCAATCGCCAAACCTCCGAAGTTAATTATTAATTGATGAAATAATTCAGAATTCAAATATTTAATTCGTGATTAATTCAATAATTTAAAATTACTATCTATCTCACTATTGACTTCTTCAAAATTTAATTCATTTTAATAATTGAGATGAATGCATTAATTAGCAAATGACTTTCGAATGAGGAAAAGAAATCTCGATGTGACGTGTGGTGCAGAGACCGTTGTACACGGACGCTCGTAGACGAGTCGTTGAATTATATTTAGAATTATGTGGAAAAAATTCAACACTTCGTGAGGGAATTGATCCTCTAAATTATTCAGAGCGTAAGTACCTGTTGTATCGTTAATGGTATCCACTATCGAACAATTAACAAGATTTAAATTTCCTCGCCTCTTCGTAGTGTTCATCTTTGCTACATTTTTTTCCTTGATAATTCAATTTTATTTTTTTTTCCAGGTACTCAAGAATATCCAAGTACTTTTAGTTCAACATCAGAGCCTCCACTCAAGCCTCATTCAACTGTAGATTTTTTTATCGTTTTGTAATTATTTTATGATTCAAAATTTGAAGGATTTACATTCGATTTTCCATTTAAATAGAGTTTTGCAGGATTTTTTAAATTTATTTGTTTAATATTTTTCATTGGATGAAAAATATTGAACAAGTTTTTGTTTTTTCCATCACTATTTTCAAGTCAGAAAATTCGGGCAACAATTCAATGTATGAAAATAATTGATCGTTTTTTAATTCTGATATTTTTCATAAATAATTAATGAAAAATCAATTCTCTACTCTGGAAATCAATTGTTTCAAGTCTCTTGTTTCTACGGAACGAGTAAAATAATTTTTATTATTTACTCAAAGAAAGGAATGTTGAATAAAAAAAATGAATTAGTGCTTTCAAATCTGTGCGACTGCGTGTTATTCAGGCTTCAGCGTTGCCGATTCCACTCTACACTGTCCGGGCGCGTTTACCGAGCTTCCGGCAACGTCGCGTAACGGGCACTTTCATTCGACATGGGAAAAAATAATTCATCTGTAGGAAATAATTTAATTTCTTCGAGAATTTTGAGAATTATGTTGTTCTAAAATTACTATGATTGTTTAGACACTTCAACTTAAAAAAATCTTTTTTTTGCACTTCTTCCGGTTAGCCAGTCACTGGAAGTTAAGGGAAAACGACGCGTTGTGTCTAAGGTTCAATGACAAATTTCAGTAGCGAAGATGTAAAATGGTTCAAGTCTCCTTAGCTCTTACCTGAGTTTTCGGAGAATATCTCCGAATCTAAGGGAGATAACAAAACTCTCGTAATTACCTTTTTTGCAACACGAATTGAGGGCTACAAAAAAGGTCATGACAAAAATTTTACTATCTCGCTTAGATCCCTAGATATTCATTAAAAACCGGTCAATAACCAAACGACTTAAACCGTTTTACTGCCTCGCTACTGATTTAATCCAAACGAAACTGCAAAAGGTACTTGGATATCCTCAAGCCCCGACCCAAGGCCGACCAATATAATACTATTGACTACAGCGGGGGTCAATGACTGATATCAAAAGGATTCTCCCCCGTTCCTTCCTCTTCCTACCGTCGAAATGCCAGAACAAAAATAATCATCAGTGAAGAGTCTTGAGATTGTCGGAGAGTCGTCGATCAGGCATCGGTCCAACTTACGTCTCAAAATCTTCGGCATTCAATTGCAATCATTACAGTCATAATCAATCCAACTACCCCAACTACCACAATCAATTATTGATAGAATTACACGGCCAAAAGGGAATTACGTGGAATGAGTGAGATTCAGGTATTCACTGAGACGTCTATTTCTGAGGGGCGGAACAAACGCTACGTGACCGCTATTTCTCGCAACGACCGAAGGCAATTCCTAAGTATAGGAGGGTCGGGGCTTTGCCTCCGTTTAAAAATACATCCCCCAATCTTTTTTCTTTCTTCTCTGTATCTTTCTCTATCTGTTCGGTTTGCCCCCCTCTCCCGCTTCTGGTTTTTTCACTCGACAAATGCCCACATCGATTAACCCCAATCTCTGGAATTTGAGTTTAAACTGAAAAATTTTATTTTGAAGTCTTGAAAAGATGAACCGGATAAAATGGACCGATTTCCGTCAGAATTCAACATTTCTTTTTTCATTTTGAAAGTATTTTTTCAGGCTTTGAGACGAGACTTGATTCATTTGAATCGTAGAATTAGATTAGGAGATACTGATATTCTAAGACCGATTGTATTTCACTTTTTCAAAAAGAGGAGCAAAATGACGCCGGAATGAAGTTCACCAATTATTTTTTGATAATTTAACAAAATCCATTCTATTTCACCTTTCCAAAATAAAAAAGGGAAAAATCACCCCTTGTAATCGTCAATAACTGAAGATCGTAAAAGTGAACTTCACAAAGTTTTCTTTCATGTAAAAACTACTTTCTCAGGTTTTAAAATAAGACTTAATAAAACTTAATCCATTGTTTATACTCCTTTAAAAAACCGGGATAGAATAACTTCCTCCAATCATGAATAATTCACGATCATTGGAACGAACTTGACCAATTTTTCTCACTTCAAAACGATCATTTCAGTCTTTAAAATCAGCCGTAGTTCATCGAAACCGTATCATTCACTCAATTGATAGGGGATTTTAGAAGCCCTCATTTCATTATTTATCGTCTCCTAAACACTGTAGTTCAGCTAGTTATCATTTTTTTCAATAGCTGGGAACTATCACAAACATCTACGAAAAACATGTGGACAATCTCAAGAAAAACCTGTTTACTACAAAAACCAGGTGTCTGACAGCTATCTGAATTTAAGACGTCAGATGGTAAAAAACGTCTGAATCTGCAAGTGTCTGAAAATTTCAACCACCGTTTCTGTCTAAAAATGATGGAAGACATTTTTTGTGTCTGAAAAATTTCAGGCATTTATTTTCAGATATTTTCTGTATCTGAAATTCAGTTATTTATGAGCGATTCAAACATTTCACTATTAAGATATCTCACCAGATTCAGACGGCAAAGTCCATTCAAACATTAATTTTTAAGATATTTCTCACATCTGAAAAGTTGACTCATCCACTGCAAAAACTAGGTGTCTGACAACCATCTGAATTTAAGCTGGCAGTTGGCAAAAAACGTCTGAATCTTTAAAAGTGTCTGAAAATCTAATTGATGTCTAAAAATTTCAAACACCAGTTGTGTCTGAAATTGAGATACCTCCATTGATTCAGACACATTTTAATGTCCCAAAAGTGTTTGAAAGTGTCTACAAAACTGTCTGAAATTCAGACATTAGTTTTCGCAGTGTTTTCTCGGGATATACCTTAAATTCAAATAAAGTTCAAGCTACCAGTCCTTCCCCCTTAACCCAACTGCAGAAAAAGTCATGATTCAGTCTCAAGTACTTGAACCCCAGCCCCAGCCCTTAAACAACAAACATTTGACAATTAAAAACTCACATTGTTGCTTGTGCCTCGACGACTCCATGAGTATCATTTGCTCATGTTTGTGCCACGCGGCGTCGGTCGTATCGGTGCCTGTGATACCGCGTGCACCAGTCGTTTGCTGGACGCCCCCGCGGCCTCCACCGGCGCCGCCGCCATACTCCATACCAACGGACCCACTTTTTCACCACTGCCAGCGGCAGATCTCCAAGGGCTCACAACATGGAGCTCCCCAGGCCCCTCCACCCTCCAGCAGCCCTTCTTATTCCACTCAGGACTCGTGTCAACACACCAAACTCTCACACACACACGCGCGCACAGACACGGCCACGATTAAATAAAAAAATAATCGTGTCCTATTATTGTTCACCGCACAGACCTCCACTTCCCCTTTCCTCACAGATTTTACTATTCAACGTGATATTCACTCGTAACTTCCAACTCGGCAATGATATTTACTATCAATCACTTGGACAATGATTTTATCAAAGTCCGATTGTAACACCAGTAAAACGACAAACGCACTGATGATTTATTTCTTCTTGGATACAATTTTCTCCTGCTGTACCCCCTTCCGCGGCCTTCGCCCTTTCTACTTGCCTTAGATTGCATACGAAATATTGTTGATTTTATTCACTTGGTGTTGGTGAACAATATCCTGTCCTTTCGGGGGGGAGAGGGACGTTGTTTAGATCTGAAACAAGAGAGATAAAAATTCATTTACATGAGTAATTGAGCGTAGGTCAGGATTTTCATGAATTTATTATTCCGGATACAATGCTGGATTTTATTGCTATATTGGGATCAACGTCATGGGGCTAATGTCGAAGTTATACAGCCCCCCCTCTCCCTCCCGTTGTTCTCCCACCCCTCCGCCGCCCCGCCGCTTCTCCGTCAGCCGGAATAAAATTTGCGGACGTAGTAAAGCATCAGGGATGCCTTGAAATAGAGCCGGGTCAGTTCGCAGATCGATGCACACCGAGTTGCACTGATGTATACAGCATTATACGTCGAAAGAGATGAAGGAGAGGAGGGGAAAGTCAATCCACGAATGCACCAAGCTCGATGATTTCTATATTTAGGTGATTAAGGAGTTCTTATGCTCGGGCAGAACGATGTTGAAGGAATTTAGGGAGCTTTTGGTAGCTTTGATGGTGAAAAAAAAAATGCCGGAAATTTCCGGAACTGGTGGTGGAGACCGTGAACGTTTCCACAATTTTGTCATTTAGTAGGTACGACGGAGGAATACTGAAGCAATACCTGACGAGACACTTTTACGCGGTATGAACACGTCTGGAGGTTATCCGAGATGCCGAGGGGTCGGGGACGAGGGGTCGGAGGGATGACAGAGGGCAATTGGAGTTCCGTTGAAATAATAATACGATACGGACGTATGGGGTTAATATTGTTACACTGTATGATATCTTAATGCAATCATTTCAGATACGATCGGGGTTGGAGGGGGAGGGGAGGGCGGGTTGACATCGTCGTGACTCGGGCAATTTTTATCATTGAATAATCCCTCATCTAGATATTGGAGCTAACCGCCCGTGCAAAGGGCGTCTCGAGACCTTGGCGGCTTCATGCGAATTCCGAGGACATTTCGGGTGGGGGATGTGCGATTTTTTTAGGGATTACCTCGGAGAACTCTGAAGGTTTTTTCGCTTCTGTTCGAGGGAGTCTTTCTTTTGCTGGTGGAGACTGTTGGGGGAGGATTGAAATTTCGTGGGGGTTGACGTAATTTTCAGGG